AACGACGTCCCCAAATTCATAAATTATTTCTCCCATCATGTTTATGCAGAGTCTTCCAAATTGCTGACTTTCCTTTACATCTCCAGGCTTACAAGCTGCAATTGTAAAAAATTCAATAAGACTTAAACGCAATTAACTATTGGGCCGATGAAAATGAGCATAACTTAAATATATAAAAGGACCAGATTATTCTGTTTGTATCTCGTAATTATTACACTTTGAAATTAGGTGATATTTGTGAGTTAATACTCGAAATCCCGGTTAGTACGGAGCTAATGCTGGTACGAATGCGTAAGTGAATCTTGGAAAATCCAGCCTTCAAAGAGCTTTGAGTGCATTATTAATCACTTCTTTACGACATTATGGTGTTTTATCTTGTATTATGTCCCTCGGATATTTAAGTATTCTTATTTATTTCTATCATTAAAAAGAATAAGTTATACAGTCTTAATTCCTTTGAATCGTTCATTACTTCAACGGCGATTCGTTTTTCTTTGTTTTTGCTAGAATTAATGAACGGATAGTTGATTTATTTTTAAAGTTTACTTGCAGGTTACATTTTTCGTGCTATTCGGGAGGACTAAAGGAATAGAGAACTTTTTTTTTATAAATACAAACAGCTGTTTTTCCACTTTTTTTCTTATGTGGGGTGATTAGTGACCGTTAAGCCAGAAACACACCCGATGCTACGCCATGCGACGCTACCTGATGCTAACCTATACAAATCCAAACTCCGATTTTCCATAAGGTTGCATTACCCCCGTGCACATCTACCCGATGCCACGCTAACCTACCCGACGCTCTGCGATCCCCACTGTCCAGATTTTCGTCGGGTCGCATCGAGTACACTCGAAGACAAAAGAACCGGACACTCATATTTTTATTCAAACTACATGTATTATTGTTGTTATATTAATCACAACATACTTATTTTAATAGAAACCAAATTAACTGTGATTAAAAATGAACTAGTTTTTATTTAAAAAATTAATTTTAATGGTTTGGTAGAAAATTAATCAAAACACCGGAATACGATTTTTTGATATAATGAATTTAACTAACAATTTATTGTACTCGCTTCGGCGGTACATATATTCAAATTGGAACAATTTATTACACGGTTTTGCTCATAAAATTTAATCAACAATTTATTTCATACTTTTGCTCGTAAACTTACACCATTTTCTAATGTCGGGTAGCATCAGAACAGGACACTCTTTTTTTTTATAGTTTATTTCAAACTAAGTACATGTAATTTTGTCGTTATATTAATTACAACATGTTATTTTAATGTAAACCAAATTAAACGAGATCAAAAATGCATAAATTTTTATAAACATTGTTTAATTAGATGGTTAGGAGTAACTTTATTTAAAACCATTAAGTTTAACAAACAATTTATTAGATGGTTGTACTCATAAAATTTAACTAACAATTTATTACAAGGATTTGCTCAAAATAGTGCATTAAGAACAAAAGATGCGTTGTGATTGTGATAGTGATTATTGTGATAAACGCTGTGGTCTGTACGCGACGTGTACTTGCGTCGGATAGATGTGCACACCCCACCAAAACGTGGCAAGGCGTCGGGTAGCGTCGCACGGCGTAGCATCGGGTAAGTGTGTTCCCGGCTTAAGTCGATGATTATTCGGAAATCGTGAGATGCGGTCTGGTGTGATGTAGGTTTCAGAAAAACATTTTCTTTATCGTGCCAACGTTTCGATCTTTATTGAGATCATCTTCAGGCCCTGGGATTTACAAACATTGTTTAAATTTTACAAATGTAGGATGTGGAAAAAAGTGAATTTATACAATGCAAAAAATATTTTTTATATTCAAACAAAGTATTTACGCAGAAAACAAACACTTTGAGTGAGTAGAAATACTTTTGTTTCCCCCCGGTTTGATACTTCGTACACTCAATTAAAGAAACCTGTAAGTCGATTTAGAATTTTTGGTAGATTTCTTTCAAAAATCTAGCGCTCTCTAGCGGCCGTATTTTTGATCGCATTGCAATGAAATTTGGCAGGGTGGTAAAGAATCCTATAAGGGCGGTTGGGATTGTTTTTCAGCCAAATCGACTGGGAGTCGCAGGGTTATGGGCGATGAAGGTAAAAAATTCAATCAAAATTTTAGCCGTTTTTGCGTTTTATCTCGCACAACAGCCAGCGCGATTTGTTTAACTTCACTCCCTCCTAGCTACGACCCTCATTATTAAATTTTCACATTTTTGGTACCGATTTTAAGCGGGATTCTTCCTGTAACTTTTAAGCTCGGTTTGGTTCAAATCCAGTATTTTAAATGTTATCACAAATTGAAAAAATCCCATTTTTAATCGGGATTTTTTCTCAAATACGGTACTTTCAAACCTAAATTAATTTTTCTTTTATAATAAAATGAAAACGTAGGCGTTTCTTAAGTTTTTTTTGTAATTAACAGAGAAATCATGAGAAAAGCAAAAGTCTTTAAATTTGTGCATATTATTAATAAATATGGCGGGGCCATCGCACGTCTTTTTCCGTAAATTTCCCATTGTTACAGAAAAGTAATGGTGAAATAACTCGAGAAAATAATGAATTAAATAGCTTAAATAAAATTTCAAATTAGGTAGTTAACTAGTAAATCATTTTATTTTCATTATTTTATGTGGTCTAGGAAAAAATGGCCCGAATCTAATTTAATTTAACGCCAGCAGTTAATAAAAAACAAAAACAATTTATTAATTTTTTATCCTATTGCAATATTAATTACGTTTTGTATAAAATAATTAATAATATACACCCATTGTTTTCAAATTATTATATAATTGTAAAAGTAGAAAATTTTTAGCACCGCTTCATTGATTTCGCAAAAGAAAGAAATCTACCTCTCACTCCTTACTGCCGTTAGGATTTTTTTTGTTCGTTTATGTTTTGTGCTAAAAATTACATTGCAGTCTATGATTTTTTCATGATTGGACATGTCCTTGTGATGCTTTTCTGATTTTTGCCACTCTCGATGCGATAACCTCTAAGTTGGGGATTAATTTTTATATTCGTTAATGTTGGTTAGTAAAAACATTTACATTGCAAACTATGACGGAAAAACATTTTGGAAATACATGATAAATATGTTCCTTTTTGAAATAAAAGTATTGAAACTTTTAAATCAAGTTTTTTTTTTTAGTTTTTCTCGTTGAAGGAGGATAAAAAAGTATTGCGTTGGCCCGGAAAACGATGTGTAAAGTTTTCTCTCGATTGGTTTTTAGGTCTTCTGTGCCTTAAAACAATCGAAATTTTTGTTTTGGGACGACTTATGGCCCTCTCCCGACCCCTTCCGAAAACAGTCTCGTTTTGTCTCTTGAGTTGTTTTCATATTAACATCTTTCTACTTTGCTCTTTTGTAGTATTCATAACACTACCTCAAACCTAATCTCCGCCATACTGGCTTAAAGCTATAGGGATCGAAGTTCTTCTCACTTGCGCCTCCACAAGAGGCAGAAGGGTGAGTACTCTTTTCATTCCCTGTTTTTCTCATTCCATCTCTATTTTATTTTATTTTTAATTGCCTTTTGTTTCTATTTTTTCTTGTTCTATTTTATTTTCAATCGGCACCATACGCAACACTTGTCGTTTAATTTGAACTTATCTGTCTTTATTTATCACTTATCTTTTGATATTTGAGCAAAAGACGATGTTTGAGCATACCTTTCTCCACTGAGAGGTCATCGGCAAAAGTTGTTATGGTTATGTTTCCCAATTTTGTTAGGTCATATGTATACAGCAAAAACTATACGGAACCTAAGATGCTGTACTCCAATCTTATTCGTAATGTCTAATTTGTTGTTGTATTTTCAAAAAGTAAGAGGTCAATAGTTCAACATATTGTGTTTGGAATATTGTTTGTAACTTTTGTTTTAAACCTTCGTAGGATTCCTTGTCAAAGCCTTGCGATACCTGCCTTCAAGCTGAACATATATTTTTATCTATTTATGTTTTAGTGGTCAATTGACTTCTTTCAATTAATTATTATTTTTATGTAAGGTTTTTGGTTGAGATAAAAAATACAGTGTCACGAGCGGGATTCGAACCGTGACCTTCGGCTAAATACGCCGAGAGGATCAAGTAAAGATAGCTCAAGTGGTAGGGCAGGGCGTATCTAGCCGAAGGTCGTGAGTTCGAATCCCGCTCGCGACACTGACTATTTTATCTCAACCAAAAAACCTTACATAAAAAGAATGCATTTTTATCTTCTAGAACTTTTTATTTTCTAGAATTTTTATTTTCTATATCGTCTATAGTTGAATGCTGGCTCTAAATCTAAATTGGTGACTTGGTATAATGTTCTCTTTTTCAATGTAGTTGTTTTTCAATAGTTTTTAGATTGCTGGATGTAATGAGATGAGTCGGTAGGGTGGAACTTCGTGTGGTGTTTTAGTTGGTTATGTTATTATAGTGATCTCAGCTACTTTTCAGATATTAAGGACGAACCTAATTCTTAATGCTTTGATAAACAAATATCTCAAATTAAAAACTCCTTGTTTGGTTAGCAAAATTTCTCTGAGAACAGAGCATTTTTCTCCCTCTTCTATTCTTCACTCCTGAGCTTTCGAAGTATTTTCATTATTTTTTTTATATATTTGGCTATTTTCTTTTGTTTAATAACAGATGAGTTGAACATACTCCATTTAGTTTATAAACGTTTCAGCCAAATGAATTGAAAATCTTTGAATCTCTTACCCAGGAGCCGTCTTTTTTTTAAGTGGGTTTAATTTTAAAATTTAGATGATTGTTTTCTTTAATTTTTGTGTTCCTTTTCGTAATAAGTCGTCGGTCTTAACTGCTTTTAAGCTGTTAAGTTTACTATTTATATAGTTATATTTTTTGAATTTGCATTATCTTGTTCAAAATTGTTTTATCAGCAGGATCTCTCGACTTGTTATCGTATCCTAGTTTTCATTTTTTCTTGAATAAAGTCCGTAATTTTTCGGGACATAAGGGTTGTATAAATAAAAAGGTTCGTTTAAAGTTTGATTATTTTATTGCAAATACTTAGGATACAATAGAATTCTTTTTAAGGAAATATTACATTTTAAATACATTTGTCCTCTTCGTAATTTCGTAAAATATTCTTCTGCGTTAATTCCGTCTGACAATAATTTGACATGATTGGCTTGGGCGAAAAATTGACTTTATTCACAAAATGTTCAAAAACTATTATTTCTATTGGAGTTTTTGATAAATGTGTATCACTATTTTCTTTTAAATCACTTAGACTTGTTCTTGGTCGACAATGATATAATTTGAAATAAAAATTGGTCTTGACAACACACGAATCCAGTTTATTTATTCAGATTTAGAAAAAAAATTTAAAAATTTTTAATTAATTTTTTAAAATTACTTAGAACATCTTTAACTTTAAAGGAAGCAATACATAGAAGTATAAACTAACCTAAAGATACAACATCACATTTATTCAACACAAATAAAGTAGGTATAGAAGCGATATCTTTTAAAAAAATCAAAAATAAATAATAAAAATATAAATTAAAAAGTTATAAAGGGATACAATTATGTAGGTACAACATATTTGGTTCATGTACCAGCAAGGCACTCACATTTCTGATTTTCTCTTTTTCCTCTCTGAAATCCGCAAAAGAGCCGTTTTACCGATATACTGATTGTCTCATTTTGTGTTAGAGAAACAAAAATATATAGAGTAACTATCTAACGTTAGATTAAAATTTTTTTCACGATTAGGAAGTGAACGATCACATATACTGGAATTCCGTCCCGTTTTCAATATATTTCCCCCATGATTATGCCCTGTCAAAGTTAAAAAAAAGTTCATGGAGTCATCTTCTTTTACAATTCGATCCATCGGTTTGATAAATTTTAACTAAAAGGTATCTATTACTAAGTACTAAGCATTTTTTAGTAACTCTACAAATTAATTATTCCAATATGAAAAGTAAAGCATTTTTGATTTTTAGTGATAGTTAAAATACTAGCCATTTCGTAGTAAACAATTGGCTTAAGATAGTAAGTAGCAAATAGTAGTAATAGTAGGAAAAAATATATATCTGAAATATTAAAATTCTTTTTTATAATTGGATCGAAAACAAAATTCATAATAATTTTTATAGAATACTATATGTAATGACTAGAATTCAATAATTTTTTATTCTTTTTTTATTATATAAAAGATTAAAAATTTATATTATTTACAAAAGTATTGCGATAAAACTATAGCTAAGATGCTTTGGTGTTCTTAGGTTTTTTTAAATTTTATAAATATTCTTTTTGATAATTTGTAATTTTGAAAATCTTTGGCTTCGGATATTAAAAAAAGGGCAAAAAACGTTTTTGTTCTTATTTTGATAAAATTGCAGGCTGCCTGGAAGAATTTTAAATTGTGAATTTACGACCTCCTCGGTTCAAGTTTTTGCGAGTGGCTGTTCAGCGTCCTCTGGTTGTCGATCGTCCGGAGACACCTGACGTACGCTCTGACTTCGGACTCGTTCTTCGGCGTCGGCGGGTCAATGACTGAAACGAAAATTGACTCGGTCAATACCGCTGGATGGAGATACAGTCAGACATTTCACTCACCCATGTGCCTGTTGCGGCAGTATCGCAGTGTTCGTAGGGTTTGCGCGAGCATGTGCATCTTCTCGAAATTGACCAGGCCATCGACCATTGTTTTGTTCCCTTCGTGTATAAACGTCATATCTAATGAATTAAATTCAAAATATTAATAACTTTTCTTTTTAAAACAAAAACGAATTGTGATTTAAAACTGGTAGAGACTCACAGGAATCGTTCATTCCTAAAAAAAAGTAATGAGATACTGTTCCCTTAAATATTGAACGAAACTTCAACATTTAGACCAATCAAAAAAATACACCCATTTTTTGCTTGAAAACGGTTTTGGCAAAGTAATTTTTAGATTAATTAAGGTTTTTAATTGAGATGTATATGCGTATCTAGCCGATGATCTGGGTTCGAATCCCGCTCTTGACACTGACTTTTTTATCTCAACTAAAAACCTTAATTAATTGTAATATATTAATTGGTCAAGCGGATCACGAAAACTAGTGAATTTAGTCATTTTTAGAGTATGTCTGAGTTCAAAACAATTGATTGTCACACATTACACCCAGTTTATAAATTACAGAGGTAATAATAAAAAAGTAAAAACTAACTGTGTACATACATTTTTGTGTGAATGTTATATTGCGTTTTATTATTTAGATTGATTCTCTCATTTAAAAAAAATCAAACTGCGATAACGTACGAGCCCGTACGTAATATGACAAGTCTGATAATTATCTGCAATTTCTGTTAAAAATTCAACGTCTACAATATGTAGAAAAGGTTCGATAAGTTAAAAAGCATAAGATGAAATATTAGTTAGGTTAAATTTTGAATTCATGCTAACAACGTATATTGGGGGGCGTCGGTGGCCGCAACGGTTTAGGTGTTGACACGGCATCACTGTACGGTAAAGGTCCCGGGTTCGAATCCAGCGGCCGACATACAAGACGGCTCTTTTTAAAAAACAGCGGCATCCCTAGGGTTGATATAACCTCCGCTATTGCGAACCTTCGTAAAAAAGAACTCACAAACTTTATCCTGAAACCTACGAGTTAACTTCCTGGACCGATAACACATAGTTTAGCAGACGGATCTCGAAAGGTCGTTCAGGTACTTTTACAGGTACATTGTTAGTATATTAATTCAGTTAAATAAATTTGGTTTTAATTATTACATGGGCCGGCGTCCCACAAGGGTTCTTGGTCCACTCTTTGTTCAGCTGACCTGCCAATACATCCCATCATACCCTTACAACCTTGACGAGTGATAAATTTTATCTCCTAACTCCAATCCTATTCAAAAGGGCTTGAGTTGGAGGGGTCCAATATCCTAGAGAATCTTGAGCTCATTGAACAAAAGTGTAAAAGTGTGGAAGATGAAACTAAAAAGGAAAAATGTACCCAAATTACGTTCACTTTAGACAAACAACCTTACCTTGGCTATACGTTAATAGTGAAAAACTATCGACATCTACCCAAGTAAAATACTTAGGGCTATATTAACACAAGACTCAAGTGACAAGAACTAATTAGACGATTTGGATTACGAAAATTTATAGGACCGACCAGACATGACGGTAAAGAACACACTAACTCTGTACAAAACATTACTTCGACCTACCTGGTCATTGGGGCTGAATTTAACATACACTGAATATAAGCATTACAATCAAAAGAAAAAAAAATTAACAACGTATATTGTAGATTGATCGTATCTGATCACCTCTATCTGTTCTTTCTGGTTATTCTGACTGTTTCGACATTTCATTATCCTTGTCTTTCAGTTCAAGGTACACCAACGCAAAAAAAAAAAATAAATAAATAAATAAAACATGATGACCTTGCGGAACCTTGATTACCTTTCAGCAGCAGAGGCATGAACGGTATGAGAGGGCTGCTCATACTGGTTACGACTGCCCTGTACGCCCTGTGATTCCTAGATGGATCGATGGTCGCCTCGAGCTGGGTGTAAAGCTTCCTCGATTTGCTCGGCAGCTTGTCCCAGGTGGCTGACAGCCTGGAAACTGCGACGTTGCTCAGGCCGAGCACCAGAGCAAACATGCCGTTGATGTTGTGGAACTCCTTGCAGCTGAAAGAAATCACGTGAAAAAAATATTCTAAATACAAATAGAAATTAGGTTACTAACTAAGATGCGATTTTGATGATTTTTCGAAGCACGTGGACCCTTTTGCTAAGACTCTGCGTCAGGCAGATCTCGGTGACTACCCAGTACTGGAGTTCGTTGAATCGCCTGAGAAAAACGTCCAAATTGGCAGTGTTCTGTCCGAACCTGTGTCTACCGAACGTGTGGTACAGAAGCTCGTACTGTCAACAAAAAGGAAAATCTCTTTCAAAAGAAAATCATATTAATTTGATTACACGAGAATTTTTAAGCCAGTATAAGCAGGAAAACAGATTAAATCCCATAGCGTTGGAACAGTTCCTGTGAGAGGATTTTCGCCAATATTCTTTAATTTTTCTAAACTGTTCTATCAGTTTTTATGTTTGTGTCTATGTTTTACTTTATTTTATATATTTACGAAGAGTTTTGTTTTAAACTCTATCAATCAATTTATGCAAAGTTTAATACTATTCCAGCTCTTTGTTATTTTACAGTCAGTATCAAAAGAAGCAATTTTGATAATTGGTAATTAATGTAATCGTGCAGAAATACTGAAGATAACATTGCCTTCTTCAATGAATATTACTATCTTAAAATTACTTACAACAATATCAACAAATTTTATGCCAATTAATCTAATACCAAGGTGTCCTTTTTAGATGGCCCGGCTGAATTTCTCTCTTAAACCAATGACGCTATAAAAATCAATAAAAAATGTTTAATATCTTTCAGTCTGGTTACAACTTTTTAACTTTTTTTGAGAAATATTATACAGCGTATCTGAGGCCCAGTTCAACTTAAAAATTCAAATTAAAAATACGACGATACATCCTGGCCCATCATTTAAAGGAAATTTTACGCTGAGAAAAAATCGTGCGTTCGGAGTTTAAATTGGTAAAAAACAAAAAATCATTTGGTTTGCTATTTATTAATCACATTTCAAGTTGGAACTGCCTGCCTTGCGAAAAGATGCAACGATTTGTTCTTTTTTAACCACTCTTCACCGGTGCTTAGAGCGATAAAGTCAGGGGAGATGGATTGACATCGCCTCCCGTATACTCGGTCGTCCTAAAAAGGACAATGAGGATCTTTAACGTCCGCACCAAGCCTATTCGGCCTTATCGGAAGTTTTGATTCTCAACATGAGAGCTGACGCACCTTCGCATACGGGAAGGGTGCTACTGCCGCAGCGTTGGTGTAAAGGCAGCTCAGTTTAACCAAGTGAACCTCGCTCTCCGCTTGCCCATTCCGAGTAGTCGGGTCCCCATTGAGCATCGAACCGTATGCCGCGCGCCAAGCCGTAAAATTTTAAAAAAATACAACAGCCTGGTCTCCCGCGCACTCCCTAGATAGAGAAGGCCACTCTACCACCCAGAGTAGTGGGGCTTCCCTAGCGTAGAAACTACCGGACCCGCTCCGGCCGCAGTTTTGTTTAAAGTGGAATTGCTAGCCACCCCAAGAGGAGACCGCCTAGGGGAAAAGCCTCCAATCGAGTTCAGCCTACACCTATGTGCAAAGCATACTCAATTAGGAGCAACCGATACACTACCCGTTCCCATCCGCCACTATTCACGCATTCGAGGGACTTTTCAGCATAATCATAGCGTCCTCAACGCTTATTCGCAGCCGTCCGATCCGCCGTATCCCGTGAAGCCGGGTGTATAACGGTGGTCATACGCAAGTTTCGTGCGAGGGTCACAGGTAGAAGACAGCTTCTTCTCTAAGTGCCCGCCAGGGGTCTCGCCACGGCCAACTACGAGTCCATTCCCATTGTAACAGGGGCTGAACCTTGGAACATTTCTGTTACCCCATAGTACAGATGGTTATGCACCCTCCTCCGTCTATTCAGACAGGATCTGGTGCCCTAACCCTCGTGTGCCTCTGATAAGGTACTCGCCGCCCCATGCCGACCCGCGGCCGACACAAGTACAGCTTGTGCTTTAGAGAGGTTGCTAAGCCGCCCTCAGGGCTACACCATTATTTTGCGCCCGGACACCCTCATTGTAGCCAACAATGAAGGAACCTGGAGTGAGAAAGAGACGTTGATGAAGCACGAGGTACACCTTTCTTGAGCCCCGAGCCTTAACCACGTTGTACCACCCGGAGATGGATTGACAAGCATTTTGTATCCTTTGCCGCAGTTCTTCAACTTAGGTTGCTGGGTTATAATGGCTATATTGGCGTAGACACTGTTTTTTAAATGGCCCCATAGAAAACAGTCAAGTGGAGTTAAATCGGGTGACTGAGGAGGCCAACAGATCGGGCCATGATGTCCTATCCACCTATCCAGGAAGTGACTATTCAAATAACGTCTCACCTGCAAAGAATTGTGTGCGTGGCAACCATCAAGCTGGAGAGTCGTTCTTTGTCGTTGTTGTAGACGAACATCATCTAATAGGGTTGGTAAAACCACACACAGAAACATACAGAAAAGTTTGTGGTGATCAGGAAATTTCTGGGAGTACAATTTTCCTACACGACGCGCAATACCACCACTATCAAACAAGCAGTCGTACATCTCGTTGTTGGTTGGAAAAAAACTGGCTCTTAGGTTCATTTTTACTGGAATACTGAATGTAACGAATAGTTACTATTGTAACATTTATTTACTTCCTGATTACCTCTCATAATGCGAGTTTGACAAACAATGACGGAATGTAAACCATAAAGGCAATAAATGTTTACTTTAGTGAAGAAGCAAATTATTGGAATTAACAACGAAACAAACGAAAACTTTTTGTCATAACTTTGTCATTTTTTGACCAATTTAAAATCCGATTGCACATTTTCAGCGAAAAAAATCCTTTAAAATGATGTGTTAGGATTTGTAGGGTTATTTGAACTTATGAAGTTGTACTGGGCTTGACGTACCCTGTATAATTTTTCTCCAAAAAAGGCAAAAATTCGAAATTAGACTAAAAAATATTAAACCCGTATTTTTTATAGCATTTTTGGATCAAGACAAATTCAGCCGGGCCTAAAAAAACACCCTGAATATTGTGTTATTTTCTTGATTTTTATCTACCATTTAAATTGAATACAGTATATATATTTAGTGAATAAATTTTTATTTATTTAATAACGTTCTATTCTACATTAGAGATAAGTAATAAAATACAAGCAGAATTGCCACTTATTGCTAACATAATACAATATTTATAAGAACATTAATATAAATGTATATGTATCTAATATATAATTTGTATTTAATAACAAATTATTTTTTCGAACTTTTTTACATTAACGACAGCGTTATTTTTCGTTCGAATGACATTGAAATCGACAAAGCCATTTGACGGTTGAAAAGTTACAAGTCGTCTGACATATGCAAATATCACTCTGACACTATGAGGTTCAATTTTATTGGTGAAATTAGGGCAAAATTGATCATCTACCATTTTGTGTATTTTCAGACTAATCTCGTACAGATTTATCCATGTTGCAATGCTAATGACTCAATTTATGATCAAATAATCGTCCAATTTCACAGTTGTGCCATGGCCACGGTATTTCATTAACTAACATAGCAAAGGGTAAAATTCGTTATACACGTAGTTTTGGATGGGTTAAATTATAGTCAAAGAAAATAAGTTTTTAATTACTAATTTCTTAGAATTGTTATTTTAAACGGGGTCAATCGTATTGCTAGTAGGTGGCTAATTAATCGGATGATGGATGCCGTCCCGAAGCGAGCACGTGATGACATATCTCGCCTTCTCAATAATGATTTACTCTATAGCCTGTAAATTAACTGGAAGGCTGTGTCATCAATCGCTCCGGGGTGATTTCTCGTCAAGGATGGTTGAGCAATAAATTTCACCCTGTCGTGATAACGAGCCCTTTCATGACAAGCTGCGAGGATTATCCAGGAGCATCCTATCTTGCAGCAGCCGAATTCGGTAAAAACAGACCTCAGGTGGTTAACGTAGATTCTTAGTGTTATTTTTTTTCACAACCTTTTTCGGACGACGCACCAATCCTCTTGTCACACTCGGACCCTATCCTTGCAACAGAAGCAACTCAAGAACACCTAGGCTTCATAACAGATTGGTGAACTCAGTGGTGCATTAATCAAAATGAACAAAACAGCCGTCACATGATGTTAACACTCATAAGACGAACGTACCCACGAGTGCGCATAAAAAGTGAAGCAATCTTTCCGTCGCTATCTAGAGTTCTACTTGAAAAACAGCCTTACATGGAACCCATTCTTAAAAAGAACTCAACCGAAGATTCGACAAATATCCTACTCGGACCTAAATATGCAGTAAGTGGACAGAACCAATTAACAATATATGAGATACTGAAGATAAGATATGTATCGACCTGCTATTGAACAACTTGGCAAAAAGGATCTTCGATGAGGTCACAACTGAACGACAATTCTTTAAATTTTTGCGATTATATTGTCATCATCAGGGCTTATTTATTTTAGGAAAATATCGCAGTTAGAACATGTTACGTAGACTTACATGATCGAGCTGTGTGTTTCGCCAAGCTATCCAACTTCCAAGAATACAATCCTTTCATTCAAAAATCTTTCTCGTATCCTCAACGCTTCCTTCTACTTCACTATTAATTTCACTAATTTCGTGGTCCGCTTGACCAATTAATACATTACAATTAATTAAGGTTTTTAGTCGAGATGAAATAAAGTTAATGGCACGAGAGGGATTCGAACCCACGACCTTCGGCTAGATACGCCGCTGCTCTACCAAGTACCTCTAGCAAGTAGGGTTATCAATGACATTCATTCGGTAAAGATACGTCCTGTTCCTTCCGTGGTCCGTAAGTGCCATGGTAGTCTTAAAAGTATGACTTATATGTAAGCGGTGTTCAATGGTTGGAATAAATTCTTCGGATTCCTTTTATCACCTCTCTCCACTCATCTTTCAATGTCGTTATTGCATTCCCATTAGCCCAAAATTTCACATAGCTGACGAGAGTAGGTGATTGGGAAGCTTTCATCAGATGCCGCATGCTTTGCCATCCTATCTGCTGTTTCGTTGCCATCGTTTCCAGCGTGAGCTTTAATCGAGAGCAATCCGACCTGCCATCCCAATTTTGCCCGCAGTTTCCTAAGCGTTGCACGAATTTTATCTACGGCAATGTGATTTCGGTGTTCTATGAGCATGTCGAATGTACCGAACTCTCTGTGTATATCATAGTAGCGTTCATAGCTTGAACCAGGAGGTTTTCTGAGGTTCTTTCTAACAACCATTTTGTCCGATGCATCAACGCTAGAATTTCTGCCTGGTTAATTGAACATCATGCTGCCAAAGGGTACTTTAGCGTGGCATTTCCGTTTAGAGTGATATACCACGACAGAGGAACCCAGAGAGTCACCCATCTTACAACCAACCGAAAAAATGTCGTATGTTGGATCTAGTTTTCCAGACTAGTTTCCAACTCGGCTGGATTTGCCCATTCTGCTGGTGGTAAAGGATTGCCAATTACATATTCCGGCCCAAGACAGGTGTACTCTTTTTTTCGTAAACCTTAACTCTTTCCTTTAATTTAATATCGATGGGAATTATATATATACTGGCGGTACAGACCTTGCGTCGTACGAACGGAACCCTAAACCCATGAAACCACAACCCTTCTTCTTCCATGTCCGTGATGAGGTTTCTTCCATTTCTTTGTTTTTATTATACATCATTATATATTTACATACAGAAAGCATTTTATTATTTTAATACTAACTTCGTGGATATTCCAGAATAGCTCCCAGTCGAACATCGTTAGGTGGTATGCCATCTCTTTGGCACTGACGTCCTCCAGGTCTAGTTCCAGCCCCTCGGTCGGTATCTCCTGCTCGGGTATGATGGTCTGCAAGCATTCCGGAATAAGGAAAAAGTACTTAAAATCATATAATAACTATTTATTTACCAATGCGTCCAAATGCTCTTTTGGCGCGACGAAGATCTTTCCATTCAGAGTCAGCGCGGTCGGTATGCTGACTTCAGAATCCCTGAAAGTAATCCTTTCACCGTTGCTTTTGACCTCAGCGAGCAACAGGTCCTCCGGCCTGTGCCTGATCCCCAGTTTGTCCGCCGCGGCGACTTTGATCTGTTCGGCCGTCGCCGACACCTGCATGCGGAGGGTGCAGTAAGTGTGATCCGCGCAGTACACCCTGAAAATTACTATAGGGCAGAGTTGTAAAACTTTGACATATTCTCGTATTTCCATTTGACCTACTGTCATCGTGGGACTTTATCAACGTCCCTCCGGTTTCAGACGGGGAAAAAAGGCAAATTGGCTGTCCTGAAGGCGGCAGTTTCCATCTGTTGACGACTGTCGAGGATTCGCGGTGTCTGGTGATCTGCGCCGTCACCCTGTGCATCAGTCCAGATTCTTCCCATCCCTCGTGTTCACAATCCGACGCTAATTCCTTAAAACCAAAAAGAATTAGAATATTCAACAATAGTAATTACTAGTGCTACAAGGTACCTCGATGAAAGCGACCGCGTTTGAATCAGCAAGTACTGGATGCCTTATCGTCGTGACCCATCGGTACACGAACAGAATCACTTTTCTTTTGTGTCCGTCCGATTGTTCTTTATCATGAAGCGGAGTATCCATGGTATAAGTAAGCATTATTAAGGAAAATCATCTTTCATACACAACACCCACAACAAAAAATAAAATAAGTAAAAAAAGGATATTGTTTGCGCAGTTCTTGAACCAGATGTCTCGTCGATATGAAAAGTACATGTGTGAGAAGAAAATCGTCCAACGCTGGGTCGTGGGCGGCCGTGTTGGTATCCAATCTGGAATCTAGGAGGTGTTCGACCATCCTCATCGCAGTACATGCCATAACAACATATCTTCAGGGCAGAAAATAATTGTAAAAAGTTAGAAAATTCAAGAACAGAACTCGTACTTACTTGTATTGTGAGTTCGGCGAGGAACTTTTCTCCAAGACGAGCACGTCTTTCCCGTGCTCCTTGAGGCGGACCGTGTTCGCCTCGACGTCCCGTAAAATCCGGTTGAAATCCTCTTTGTCGACGCGAAGCAGGTGAGTGCCGTCCTCCCGCACTATTATACTCGCAGCCCTAAAATAATTAATCGGATTTTAAATCCAGCAAATGAAATAGAGAAATAGGAAATATGTTGAAAAAGGGTTTTATTATAGAATGTGATATGAGGGTGGAGGTAGGGCCTTAGAAATAGCGTCGACTTACTCCTGTCAATCATCCAAAATTTTTTACATTTTGTTAGTTTTAACAATTTTTTGAATATGAAAAAATAAATATATTAGAATATTGTAAGAATTGGAACCACAGAGTGTCCAGTGAACAGACGTCAGTACTTCAGGAGGTTATCTTACTTATCAAATTTCACTTAAAAGCCCCTATTGTCCAAAGCCTAATTCTCAACTTTATTCGAGATATTTCACTTGTCATGTTACTTCGACCTTTCACAACCTTATTCCATGAAGTATCTCATGTCTCTTGAAATGTTAATCCTTCTGAAAATTTGATTACACCAACGGGTAAAACATTGAAAAACCTATGAGTGTCTTTTTTTATATTGCAACTTTAGACAATTAAACTTAAATCATTCAGAAGTTTCTATAAAGTAAGTTTTTTTTTGGTGCTGTAAATACGGACAGATAAGGCGCTTACACAAAAGTTGCTCTTGATAATGAGCTGTAAACACACAAAGTTTAATTTCACAACGGTCAGTTATCGCTAATCCAAAATTAATGTTTAATTACGAAAAATTGATTTATCGGTTACGAACTGTTCAAAAACATTAGTTATGAACATATTTTGATAGTTCTATTAAAAGTAATGAAAGTAATACAAATTAACAAGAAAGACTCATTGGTACAAAATTGAACATAAGAAAAAAACTTGAGAGCAATAAAATCTGTCCAAGCAGGAGAACAATTTTAACAATTAATTTAAAAATTTTAAGCTTTCTTATGAACAATTTCAATTAATTAAGGTTTTTAGTTGAGATAAAAAAATCATGTTACGAGCGGGATTCGAACCCACGATCTTCGGCTAAATACGCCTCTCCTCTACCACTTGAGCTATCGTGACTTCGATCCACTCGGACACCAACTTCCCATCTCAATTCGGGATCCCGCTCGTGAAACTGACTTTTATCTGAGATATTAATATTAATATTAGATATTAATTGGTCAAGCGGGCCACGAAAACTAGTGAACTTATGAACATTGTTGTACCAAACAGTATTTTTCGTTAATTTTTTATTATTCTCATTTTTTCTAGATAGAAGTTGCACATACAAGATTTAAAAAAATTATAACCGTAAACTGAAATTTGTATATATTAAATGCTAATTTTACACTGGTGATAACTGACCTTTGAGATTACGTACCCGTGTTTAAAGCTCAATATCTGTCTGAATTAACTAAGCCAAGAAAGAAAGAGCAAGTAAATCTTACTTCACCTATAGTAAACTTGGGAAAATCGTAAGAGTTTATGATCAAATTGATTTTGTACTTTGTTTCCTTAAGGTTAATACAATAAAAAAAATCTTATAAAAATATTAATGTTCTTTCCAGTGCTATAATCAAATTTACAGTAGAATTAATAGAAACAAGACTTATGAAAAAGGCTGTGAAATGTTGAAGTAGTACAACACTTGTATTACCTTGATTTTATTAAATAGAAATTCCAAAATTCGAATGGCCATTTTTCAATGATAATTGGTCTTTACGAAATTCAGTACATGTGTTTATAACTAGAGGCAACTTTTGTCTAAGCACCATATCTGCCAGTATTTTTAGAACCCCGAAAATCTTACTCAAACTCAGAATTGTGTAAACTCTTAAAGTTTTTTTTATGATATTTTGTATTTTGTTTGTTTAAGGTTGCAAGGAACAAAAATTCTCAACGATATTTCAATGCTCTTTCCATTAGTATAATCCAGTTTATAGTATGATTTACCTGATTACACGACATTTGAAAATGGCAAAAAGAGGGAAAATTCGAACGGTTGTAGGTTGAGATGGAGAGTTGGTGTCCGAGTGGATCGAAGTCACGCTCAAGTGGTTAGAGCAGCTGCGTGTTTAGCCGAAGGTCGTGGGTTCGAATCCCGCTCGTGGCACTAACTTTTTTTTATCTCAACTAAAAATCTTAATTAATTAACCAACACCTTACATTAAAAAAATTAGCTGAAAGAAGTAACTTGGTCAATTAACCACTAAAACATAAAAAAGTATGATTAACATTATTTTTGTGACACACTAGGTACTTAATGGAATAATAAATGAAGTAACCAAGTGAAATATCTCCAATAAAATTGACAATCATGCTTTTAAAGGCTTTTTAATCCAATTTGAAAAGTTGGATTACCTCCTGAAGTAGTGACCTCTGTTCACGAAATTCCTTGTATATATGGACTTAATTGTGTTTGTGAGTGTGTCTGATAAAAAAAAAAAAAAAACGTTTCAAAAGATATGCAATTACTACCTATTCGATTTGGTTGATACGGTTCTTTGAGCTCGACACTAACAAATCGATTAATGACTAATTAATGATAAATATTACGTCTAGTCAAATAATAAATCCAATAATAGTCATATATGTTAACATTGACGCTATGAATTATTTTGGACTTTATGAATTGTATAGAGATATGCTTAATTATATAATAAGAATTATACATTACGTTCACTAGTTTTCGTGGTCCGCTTGACCAATTAATAGTTTTCAATTAATTAATTTTATAGTTGAGATAAAAACGTCAGTGTAACGAACGGGATTCGAGCCTACGATCTTCGGCTAGATACGCTGCTGCTCTACCACTTGAGCTATCGTGACTTCGATCCACTCGAACACCAACTTCCCATCTCAACAATGAAAATAGCAAAAAAGGAGGAAAAATTCAAAAGGTGGGGTTGAGATGGGAAGTTGGTGTCCGCTTTGTAGAGCAGCGGCGTATCTAGCCGAAGATAGTGGGTTCGAATCCCGCGGACACTGACTTTTTTATCTTAACTAAAAATCTTAATTAAATGAAAATTTTATGTTACTTTAATATTCAAAGAAACCAGCAAAGGCATATATATANTATATATATATAAATTATAAGCGTTCTGTTCACTGTCTTGCTGTCTTGGTCGTCACAATCATGATGAAGTGTACTTATGTAATAGAAGGTACGGTTTGAAAATTGCTATGATTCTGTAGACAACCAAAATTCAACGACGGTTTCTGTCCGGTTTGGTCAGCTCGTTTGTCATTAGCCTGTGTGATGTGAACGTGACGGTATTCACTTCAGATAACAGCACCATTATTCCCTGGACGTTAACGAAGAACAAAACCTACGTGGTGAATAATGAAGTTTGATAATTTTGCTGAACTGATTGCCTGAAATGACTCCAGTTTATAAAATAGTCAGAAAAGATTACGTTTGATAAAACACACGTTTATTTTGTTGAGAGACGAGAAAAAAGTAAATTTTAGTTATTTGGAAATATCATTAAACTATTATTTCTATGATGATAATTGATCACTATAGGGAACTAGTGTATGTTTTAAATATAGAATACTACGCTTTGACCAAGTTTATGTCATTAATATCCAGGGTGATTAACTACTCGTACGACTAAGTTCATCACGTGCTTCTACTTTTCAAATGGAACGTATGAAAGTTATGAATCATGTTCCGATACTCAACCCTTTCTGAGATTACCTACATATTTTTTGGTCAACTATCTACTGTTTCTTTTTCATAAATCTACTCCTAGCTCTTAAACAATTCATTTTTGGGGGGAAAAAACAACAACATTGAGATTAGATTCATTACATTTCGTACTCCGATTGATCAAATATCATCTTTCAATTAATCAATCTTTACGTAAGGTATTGGTTGAGATAAACAAGTCCCACCCACAAACTTAGGGTAAATACGCCGCTGCTCTACCACTTGAGCTATCGTGACTGATCCACTCGGACACCAACTTCCCACCTCAACCCAATCTTTCGAATTATCCCTCCTTTTTGCCATTTTTCAAATGTTGTGTAATCTATTCGATTCTCGGCGACAAATGAAATGGCCAAATGAAAGGTTCGGAAGAGGTGGGAAGTTGGTATCCGAGTGGATCGAAGTCACGATGGCTCAAGCGGTAGAGCAGCGTCGTTTTTAGCCTAAGTTTGTGGGTTCGAATCCCGCTCGTGACACTGACGTTTTTACCTCAACCAATACCTTACATAAAAATTAATTATATGAAAGATTGAAATTAGAGTTAAATTTCCTTTAATAAAGGCACCCTTGCATCACTTTCATTCCAATTGTTGGTTAAAAAAATAACTCTTTTAAAAACTGCTAAATTTAAAATTTGTAAAAAATAAATAACTAAATAAATTTGCAACCTAGTTAGGAAAATTCACGGTAGAGCTAGGCAACGTTCACAACTTCTTCGTATAATAAGCTTTCTGTCAGTATACCTTTTTCTTTAATTACTTTGAACCAAAATATAGAATTTCTATGCTAAATGGGATAAACTGGTGGCGGTATGAAAATGCGTTAGTGGGGTTAATCTAGTCATTCAAACTTTTGTCCTGGACAAAAGTTGTTTCAAAACTTTAACCTAATAAAAAAGCACCAAAAAATTAACAAAACCCATGAAAAAGATGCAATAAACATAGTGAACTACCAAATAAAATAAAATTACGTTTAATTCTTTTGTTTTTTGTGTGCTTTATTATTAATTAAAGTTGGGTTGTACAACTTCTGTACGTGGTATTGTTGTTCTTTTTTTTTGGTTTCTGTTTAGTGAGGGATTTGTTCAGTTTTTCAGCCTTGATCGTTCGCTATGTTATTGGTTCTAGTGTATGTGTTTTTTTTTCATTTTTCTTTCTTTTACGTAATGGGGGTGGCCGCAACGGTTTAGGTGTTGGCACAGCGCCCATCACTTATGGTGAAGGTACCGGGTTCGAATCCAGCGGCCTGTCCATCAAATGAAGATTCGAACTTGACATATTTACAATTTTTTTTAAACACCGGCACCCCCAAATATAAAATATATAAGCTAGTATAAATAATTGTTAAAATAGAAAAAATGATTTGTATAAATTTTTATTTACAATTTACTAC